TCCGAATGCTTCTAGGAAGTTCGCGTTTTCTTTTTTTTCACTGGAGTGATGTTTCTTTTTTCGGCGTGAAAATGAATAACTGATAAAATACAGATGATTTCCTCCCCCAGCCATTCCTCTTCGCTCAGTCTTCGGTTTTTTAAGAAATTAGAGCTCCTGCATATGCGCTTTGTTTTGTGCCCACGTGTATTGAGAAGAGCTGCACAGTAGTGACTTAATAACAATTTTATAAGGCAGAAGCAAAGACGGTGGAAAGCTGCTGCCACTCATATTCCTTTAATAAAAATCTGAGCGAATGCCAGAAATAAATCTGCCTGATATTGTTATTTTCCAGTGACAGTGGAAAATATTAAGGGAAGGAGGTATGTCCTGGTACTTGGCACTGAGCAGAATTAGTGATAAATAAAAGAAAAACGTTGTAATTGAATTTTTTAGGTATACGCTGAAAGAGACATTTTGACATTCACGGACAATCCGTTTGTTGTGTCATTCTATGGTTCATTCGAGACGCGGCACCATCTCTGCATGCTTATGGAATATGTGGAAGGTGGCGATTGTGCAGCGCTGCTGAAGAAGGCCGGGACATTACCGCTGGATACAGCACGGCTCTACATTGCAGAGACTGTGCTTGCCATTGATTATCTTCACTCCTACGGTATTGTGCATCGTGATTTGAAGCCTGATAAGTTAGTTTTTCCTCTTTAATAGGTTAGGCTTTCCGTCACCCCAACTGTGTTTTCCGGAAAATTTGAAATAACTGTATTTTGTGGTGTAATTCTGCAGCTGTACAGGAGACAACATGCTGCATCGCCACACGGTCAGCCTGTCTGACATTCGTTTCGTTTCCACAAAAAATGCATTGGAAGCCAGCCTTCCCCTCCTCCTGCTCTTCCTCGCCCCTAAAGTACTGAATCCATAATTACGTATGAACTGCAGTGTATTTGCAGCTTACTGATAACAGCAATGGGTCACATAAAATTAACCGATTTCGGACTTTCAAAAATAGGCCTGATGAACCGAGCCACGTTACTTTACGAGAATTACGTTGATTTTCTCGATACACAGCAATTCACCGATAAACAACTTTGTGGCACTCCAGAATACATTGCACCGGAAGTAATCTTAAGACAAGGATACGGTAAGCTCGTGCTTTTCAGTTTTAATTCTGAGTATTCTTTGTCTGTTTTCGGTCAAAAATTTTGTTAAATTTTTAATGATTCTAGGTAAACCAGTGGATTGGTGGGCGCTTGGTATTATTCTTTATGAATTCCTGATTGGAATTGTTCCATTTATAGCCGATACTCCAGATCTTCTGTTTGAAAAAATCGTCGGCGGTGAGTTTAAGCTGTAGTTTACTCATCAAAAATCAAAACTTCCCACGTATTCACTCTTTGTGAAAGATAAAGGCATTCTGAAATAATACGCACAATAGCATGTGCGAAAAGCAATCACATGACGACACGGCTTTCGATGGTAGTTGTATTGGCTTCCTGAAACGCGGTAATACCAAGTTTCCGCGGAAGCAAATAACGAATCCGTAAATCGAATCCTTGGTTTTCTGCATAAAAGCGGCACTCTGCGCATTATGCTACGCTTACTAGCGCTGTGGTTCCCCTTGGTATAGATTTTTGAACTTTTTATTTTTGAGTAATATACAATTGATTTGGGCCATTTTTCTTCATTGTTTTGAGTAGTAGTTGTTTTTTTTTTAGATGAAGCGGAGTTTCCTGAGGGTGAAGAAGCACTTCCCGTAGAAGCGGAGTCGCTGATCAAGCGTCTGTTGGAAAAAGATCCAGTAGAACGGCTTGGAACGTTCAATGGCGCGCAGCAGGTTTGTTTCTTTAAATGTTTAGCTGAAGTGCAATCTTTTCTTGATAATAATAATGATGTAATTAAAATTACTGCTGCACAAGAGCTAATGAAAATTCAAGAGAATGCTGCTAGATGCGATAGTTAACTTAAAATAACTGA